AAGCAGTTAATGTTACATACTCCATGCTGACACTTTTACCTCCACTGATAGTCACAGTCCATCCTAGAGAATACTCAGAAGTATTACATGATACAAATCGATTGACTTGGGACGAATCTACAAAAATATCAAAGGAGCTGATATACTATCGCCCTATTCTAATGTATAGTAATCAGTTGAATGTTGCAGTAAAAGGAATGGTAGGGAATAGTACCACAGAGATTAGTGATCAAATTAGTGAACCCCAAAGCTCACCAAGTATTATGATTAATAATTTAAAAAATATTTTTACACCATTTTTTAAATAGTGCAAAGCCAAAAAAGTAATGTGCATGTGGCAACGGAAGTTAATGATGCTAAAAGACATCATGCAGGCAAAAAACTTACAAGTTGTGCAGTCTGTGGCAGCCTTGATGCTAAAATAGCAAGTTACAAAGATGTAATTTTTATTAATTTTTTAATTCTGATAGAGCTTTGATGTTGTTTACGATGCCAATAACTATCAATATTCTCAAGTCCATCAGCATTGCCAGAGCTGTATAGTTGACAATACTGTTGATCACCAGAGGCCTTTCTCTTTAGTAGGAAGCCAAATATTCTGTGCAAAACATCTTCAAAAATGTCAAGTAATTAAGTTTTTGTTGAGCTGCATGTATATTCTACTTTCACATAGAAATGTAAAACATACATGCAATGGGAAAGTTCAAGTTATTATTGTCACAGACATGCTTTTAAATGGAATACAAGATTACTGTTAGATTTAGCACATTGTGTACATTATTTACAGTAGTGAAGTTTATTAGTTTGTTTTGGAGAATAGAGAATGCATCATAGCGCAAATATGCTCAAAAAATAATTTAAGAACAAAATGATGGTGTGTATAGTAAGAAAAACGGGCCAATTCCCAATGGAGGTAGGGCATTTGAGAGTGTTGCATCATAAGATTCCTCATACAGATGTTGGTTATTGTGTTAATGATGGTAATATTACTGCTATTGATTTTGGTACTGCATCAAGTTCAAGTACAATATACAAGCTACAACCACAAATTTTTAATTTAAATAGATCTAGTGCTAGAACTATTTATGCTTTTATAACTGTTTATTGATAATTACAATCTACACCTATGCAGAAAAAAGTCACAAACAGTTTTAACTTCTTCTCCAGTGATACAATACTTTGCTTTAACTTGTATCTCTGTACCACTGAAATCTATAGTGATGTCAACTATACATTCGTACAATAGTAGGTTACGAGGGTTAGGTATATTGATGGCAAGTTGACCTATCTTGTAGACCGTGATCCTACCATGTATATCAGCTGTGTACTGTGTATCCCAAAATATAGCATTGAATGAATGGTGATTATTGTGCATCTTTTCAATAGCAGCCTTAATAAGTACCATTTTTATAAGTATTGTCCTTTAATTTCTTTATTTAAACTATTTTAACAAAGTCTTTAAAACAAAAATAAATTTAATCTAAAAGCAATAAGTATAAAATAAACTAGATCTATATCCATCTAAGTTTGTTGAGCAGACAGGAAGTCACAAACAGTTTTAACTTCTTCTCCAGTAACACGATACTTTGCTTTAGCCTGTATCTCTGTACCACTGAAATCCATAGTGATGTCAACGTGACGATCATCCGTTGACAGGTTATCAGGATTAGGAATATCAATGACTAATTGACCAATTTTTATGACTGTGCTTTTCCCATTTGTATCTTCAATGTATCGAACTCCAAGATTAGGTGTGGAATAAATACCGATGGTAATTTGTTTATCTGATTGATGAAGTGGTGTCAAACTTATTGTAATGACTTGATCTGTTTGCACCAACTCTCCTTTTTCTAAAAACACACTGAAAATATTAGTGCATCTGTATTCTTTTTCATCTTCATTATAAAACTTGTAATGTTCATCATGCTCATCATCTTTAAATGGTAGAGATACGGCTATCCCATATGTAGCATCAGATCGTCTTGCTTTAATCTTATCTGGATTCTTACGCCACATAGCAGCTCCTGTAGCAACAGCTAATTCAGGAGTAGGAGGCACTATTACATTAAAAGAACAACCTTGGCTATAAAAACTTTTTTCTATAGCAGCTTTGACCTTCTTGTGTACATACTTGCAGCCTCCAAACCCACCAACCAAATAGAAGGTGCTAAGATCATCATCACTTGCTTTGATAGCTTCCAAAGTGCACTCTATTATACCATTAAGTGCTGGGCCAAACAATTCGGATTCTACTACTTCCTTTGAGATGTATGTATAGCATGTCATCTTCATAATCGACACCACTTTTTCTCTTGACACCAGACTCAAGAGCATTATCATAGAACTTTACGAAACGACTTGGTAATGAAATACAAATTTCTTCTGTCTGTTCCTTTCCAAAAAGCGTTTTCTCACTTTCAAATTCAGTGTAAACTATTTTAACAATATCGGCCATATTTTGAGACCGATCTCCAGAAGCTAAAAACTTTTCAAATCCAGGATCACTAACTATACCTTCAAGAATTTTAGAGAAAGCTTCATTGACCTGTGTACCACCCCATGCATTGCCAGTTGGTATATTCTCAATTACAATGTTGCCATTGACTTCAATGTGAGCTGTGATATCTATTGTACATCTATGACCATGTAATCTGATGGACGTGGAATAATTGATGTTGCTGGATCACTTTTTATCTGATCTCCCACTGTTTCTTGGCTATAAAGAGCTGCTGATTCAGGCTCTAGTGCTAACGATAGCCTGTCAGGATTAACTTCATCTGGAAGAGGCAAAGAGCGATGAGACACTGGAGTGAACTTAGTGATACTACCATATTCTGTCAGTAGACCAGCCTATATTTAAAATTATTGATTCTTTTCATGTAGATCTATAGCATCACTTACCAGATAAGCAGCTTCTCTCATCATTCTTTTTCCTCGTGCATCCCATATAGCAGGTACAGTAATGACCCAATCAAAATCTGTTGTCTTCAATGGCCAGGTAGTACGAGAGAAATGATCCATCAATAGATTCTTCAAGTGCTGAAGTATGAATGCAATGACTTCAACCAGATAGAACTTCTCACCAGAAAATGACTCGACTACTGTATCTCTATCAACTGCCTACTTTTAATGAATCATCAAGTATTAAATAATTTGCTTACCTTTTCTCTTCTCATTAACATTTTGATTCTCTCAAAGTAGACATGGCTGTGATGTTCACTTGATCTCATTGAAGTAAATTTTCTATGAGCTATGCTTCCAAATGCTTCAACCTTCATTTTGCCATCATCTTCTTTTTTCAAAAGGACAGTATTAGGAACACGAGTAGATTGGTCTTCACGGTCAAGCATGAGTGTGGCAACTTTTTCATCTCCTTTTGTAATAAAAGCAACTGAAACTGATGTAGTACCAAAATCAATAGCAGCAATATTTCCACCAGTAACACGATAGCCAGCATCTTCACGAGGAATCTTCTTTGCTCTGCTAAAAGGAGGTTTATAATCTGGTTTTCGAAGTCGAACTTGAATAATTTGAATGCTTCGGAAACCAATTGCAAAGTATCCTCCTGCTGCTGCCATTATGTTATAATATGCTACTTGAACAATGGACAAAAGCTCTAAATTTCAGGCCTTTATGTAGAAATAGTATCTGTTTCCTGAGAATTCCTATGAGTAGCTCTTTTATGAAGTAATTCCAAGAATAAACCATCATGAATATAATTATAAGAGTGCAATGATAATTACAACTTAATAAAAGTACCCATTCCAGGAATTATATTTACAGCTAAACCAATTGTTCTTGGAATTAGATCATAGGTGTATGTGAATCATATGTAACTTTTGGCAACAGGAGGGCACGACTGTCATAAACTCATTTCACAAGTATTTTAATGCGCTATCATTATACTGCTAACTTTACACTGTGTAAATAATGTATTTTTACAGTAGTCAGAATGCTGAAACTATTTATTCATAAAAAACAAAAATTGTCAAAAATTGTTAAGCTGAAAGAAAGTCACAAACAGTTTTAACTTCTTCTCCAGTGATACGATACTTTGCTTTAGCTTGTATCTCTGTATCACTAAAATCCATAGTGATGTTAACTATACGTTGATGCAATGGTAGGTTGTGAGGGTTAGCTATATTGATGACAAGTTGACCTATTTTGTAGACCATGCTCCTATCATGCATAACAGCTGTGTACTGTATCCCAAGATATGGTGTTGAGTGAATGGTGAATACATCTTTTGTAATAACTTTCTATTGAATATACCTATACAGCCACCAAATCTACCAATCAGATAAAATATGTCGACATTATACTAGTTTTTTTAATGGCTATCATTACACACTTGATGTTTCCATCAAGTTTTGGAAGACTATGTGGCTGCTTTGTCACCTTCTATAGCTAACGTCTTATCATAAACTTTAATTAATTTATTAGCAAGTATATCTACTACAAATTCATTCTAAAAAACAAAAACCATGGATCTAATCTGAAAAGCAATAAGTATAAATTAAACTAACAGTCTAAGTTTGTTGAGCAGAAAGAAAGTCACAAACAGTTTTAACTTCTTCTCCAGTAACACGATACTTTGCTTTAGCTTGAATCTCTGTACCACTGAAATCCATAGTG